GGGGGGTAAAACAACCTCCAACATTTTCAAGGGTTGCAATCTATGGTACAAATTGTGTGCAACAAATGGCGGCTATCTAATGTATATTTGCTTTCCTATAGCTGAGGCAGTACAGTGTGGTGATGGGGCGCAAAGGTTTTTTTCCCAAGGAAGAAATATATAACTTGAATGCAGTCTAAGTCACTTTGGACAAAAGCTTCTGCCAAATCTTTTAATATAAACATTTAATGTATAAGTGGAAAGGTTACTACAGGGGTCAGTCCTTTTTTTTTTAATAAACAGTAACATTTTTGGAAAAATTAAGTACAAAAACACAACCAGCAGAGTGGATCAAAATGCAAATACCTTACATTTATTTTAGGTGTAGACACTGCTCCTTAGTGTTGAGAGACTTTGTTTTAAGTTAAATAAATGAATAGTGAAGCAGGATAAACATTTTGTAAAATGTTTATAATTAGTACACTTTATTTTAAGCTGTCCTTGTTACAGTGTAATTATACATTTAAGTTCTGAGTAATGTTAATTAACTGGTTAGGATTAGGGGTTGGCTTAGGGTTACTTGCATGTAATTATGCATAATTTATTGTTATTATAATAGTAAGTACATGTAACAGGTGCAACAAGGACACCTTAAAATAAAGTGTTACCCAGACTTGTTAGCTGAGACCTCTGAACTAATTTTACAAATTCTAATTCAAGTAATTTAATTCATTATAAATCAACTTATAACATGAAATTCCCAAATATATGAGTGTTCCCTTCCAAAAAAAAACTCCACAGAACATCTCTTGTCCCGTCAGCTGTAGCATGTGCTGTGAAACCCAGCAAGAGTTTCCTCCTGTCACTGCTGCTCTGTGTGTTCATGAGTCTGTTTGAGTTGAACTCAATGCTTTTCCTCAGCATGGCAAGAGAATAAGAGAAAGACAGGCTGTCCTCAGTCTCTGTGAGGTGTCAGGTTGAATAGCTACCTGTTTGTTTGCTCACAGCTGTGCTTTGTTAGTCTCTCACACTTGAGAGGCGGCTTCATAAATTCACAGTGTGTCAAACAAATCAATAACTCCCATTAACCGAGGAAGATTCTCTGCTCTGTACTTGAGGGGCCACGGCCTCCCCTCTTTGTTTAGATGTGTTTTTTTCTGTGAAGGAGGAAGATAGGATGGGGAAATGAAGGACAGGTAAAAGAAAGAAAGAGAGAGAGAGTAATAGATAAAGTGAAATGGAGTTGGGCATGTTGCCGATTCACATAGACAGATAACTGCTCTGAATGACTTGCCCCACTTGGTCTTTCCAACAGTTGCTGTAGTCCTCTCTTTTAGGGGAAGCGTCTGAGGAAACTACAAGAGGTTTCACAGCTTCATTCAGTTGAATGAGTCTGAAGTGTTTTGGCAATCAATTTCTGTTTCATAGCTTACATCTGCAGAAGGAAAATGCAGTATAGATCCATGTCTTCATACTACTTTAGGAAGTTACCTATTTTTAAATAGAGATAGATATTTTAGTTCTTTGTCCCTGTGAGTGTGTCTCATATTTATAGAACATACTTAATGGTTCTTTGCACTTGTAGTGCAGCACATAATTGTATTCTTGGAACATATACTTCCAGCTTTTGGCCTTCTGTCACCATCATAAAAGTGTAGTAGGTGAAAAAAAGTTGAAGACACCAAAGTGGAACATAGTAAGTAGTTTGTATTCTCCTATGATTAATAAATATCCAAGAAAAGTTTACCTTCTGGGGCTCCAGAATAATGTGTAATGATAATATGCAATTATCACCTCTTATTTTTTCAGCAGTAACCTCAAGATGAGGTGCAACTCGAGTGTTAGAACAAGTGCTGATGGAAAGAATAGGGGCTGAGAGAGAAAGAGAGAGAGAGCACATGACATATGTGTGTCGTGTAAGTGTTAAGTGCTCTTTTACTTGTGCAGTTAATTTAGACTGATCACAGGGGGACCTCCACCGATTCGTTGTTTGTGAATTCAAACATGTTCATTACTGAGCATATTTCAAGGAGAGAGTTAGAGCGAGATTGAGAAAAAGAGCTAATCGCTTCAGATTGATCTCCGTGCCGAGCGTAAATGCATTTAAGCTCATAATCCTTGTAAATAGCTTCCAGCAAGGCAAAGGCAGCCTTTTAACATTGACTAAATGAAGTAAATAGAAGCGAATTAATTTTTAAAAGACGCATTGCAGTTGAACTCTGTTTGTTATGTATGGAACAGATCAGTGTGGAAACTGGAAGCTAATGAGGCCTGTAAATTTAAAGCTGAAATCATATTCTGAGACTTTGCCACCCTGCTGTTTAGGGGTTCGCAGTGAAGTTCGTTTTTAAATGCAGAGCGTCTGTTCTCCCTCCGAAAGCCCCTCACACCCCAACAGATGGAGAGAATATGGAGCTCGGAAGGTTTACCTAGGAGGTGGTAACAGTGAAGCCACTCATTAACACTGAATTTAACACTTCGTTAGCAACGCGGCTTCCTGTTGAGAGCAGCTAGTGCTGAATGTCAAATCCTCAGAGCATACACTGTGGCCTAGCAGGACAACAGCAAGCCTGGGCCCCTTTAACACACCCTTTAAACACAGTCCTGTTGTCCCACAGGTTTGCTGGTGTTGAGCTGTTGAAAGCCATCAAATATAATTAGATCGGCTGATGACACCTGAGGTATATTTCTCTGGCTAGTCATGAATGGGAACGTTTCTACCTGAGTGTGTGTGTGTGTCTGTCTCCCGGTGTATATGTGTGTGCAGTGTGCCAATTTGTCAGGTTTGAAGCAACAACAGTCTCGTGCTGGGATGTGCTTTGGCACCATCAGAGAGTGATAAGACAGAATAATATGATCTTATTGGTGGTGTGCTTTGTTCCCATGGAAATTGGTCAATTTTAGCAGGCGGCTGAGAACTTTGGTGGAAGAAACAGGAAGGTTAGATCCCAGAGGTGCATTCACATAATTAAGCTTCCTCACCAGGACTTCCAGGGCTAACGTTGGGGTGTGTTGTGAAAAAAAGTGGTGACAGTGGGTGTTTGAGATGCATATTGTGGCAAAAAAATGATGGCCGTGTTTTTTAGTCCACCATTAGTACATTTAAGAGAGCCTGATTCTTTGATGCTGCATATTTGTGATGCACTTTTTTCATAGGATCTATTAATTTATTCAGAAATACATGAAAACGCAATTCATACCTATAATGACCTGAACTCTTTTTGATGTCTGTTTTAATTTATGATTTTTTTTGATTGCATAAATACAAAAATATCAATGTGAAAGAACTGTACCTATATCATAATGAATTATAATATTATAAATAACAAAACTGCTTAACTGATTATTATTACCTTTGAGTGCTAAAAGGTATGCAGCCTATAAAGTAATGTTCCAACCAACATACAGAAAAAAAAAACAAGATACAGGAAAGTATATCAGAGAGAGGACCATCTTCATAAATATTTTTGATATTTGTAAAAAAAAAAAAAAAAAGAAAAGTTTCTTGAAAGTTACAAAAAATAAATACAAAGAGAACTTGGCAGCTATGTGTTTTCTTGCCCTTTATCAAGGACACTGTGCACCATGACATTGACCCTTATAAGTAGTTATATGGAGATGCTGACTTGAAACTGATCGTTTGTCTCTCTTTTGCAGACTGTGTTGTCTCTGTTATGGCGGCAGTAAAAGAAAGTGCAGAGGAAGACAAAGATGTAGAATCTTCCTCTGATGACACTCAAGAGCTGACAAGCACATCTTCTCCCAACAACAACAATAACAATAACAGCTTGGATCCACCAGAGCCCCTGCCCTTGGACAGTCACCAAAACCCTTTAAATGGAGTCCAGCCGAACCCATTTGTCTGTGGTAGCGTCCCTGCTGCCCCCAGCACAAACGACTCATTGCCTTCAGGAGCACTTGTTAATGGAGCTGCTTCACGCTGTACCTCAGAGGAGCCCTGCGTCCACAACAAAGACATGTCCCCTCTGCCCGGGACAGACACCAGCCCTGAGGTGTTACCGCCTCCCAGTGAGCTTCAATCAGACACCCAGCAGAAAACAGAAGGGTGCGCCCTTAAAGTGCGGCCCGCACGGGCCTCATCTGAATCAAACAACAGTGACGGTGAGGCCCCCTTAGATGTGCTGGTGGGGGAAGGCTTGGATAACAGGCCAATCAGCCGACTGTTGGCTAGAAAGGGAATCAAAGCAGGGTGCTTATGGGACTTTGATTCGGAGTTGTCAGAGAGCTCCTCTGATGACTGTGATGGTCTGAACTGGGGCCTGCAGGAAAAGTTCATGCGGATACTGTTGAAAAGCAGCGTAGCAGGTGATGGAGTAAGAACAAAGGTAGAGATTGATGGAGCTCCACCTGCCAAGCGAAGACGGAGGATGCGTAAAAATCATGCCATGGAGAGGGCTGACACTGGAGGACAGGTTTATGATGGCTTTGATTACGCATGCCAGAATTCCCTAACCGACGAAGACTCCGATTTTGAGTCGTCCATTAACAAAGAACATGCCTTCAGGAAAGAGCCGGAAAGTTTGAAAGCATATGCCGGCTTGCACCTGGAGAAATTCTGCGACAAGTCAGCTGCCATGCAGGAGCTAATTTCAAGCGAGAAGGAAGAGAAATGTGATGAAGGCGGCAGCGACATAGAAACAAACACCTACATGGGTGAAAAATCGGCACGGTTAAAGACAGAGACAAAAACAGGCGAGGAGCTGTCCTTCTTCCCCTGTTCAAAGTGCAACGATAATTTCAAGGAGAAGAGGCATTTGCATAGGCATATGATGTATCATTTAGATAGGAATAATAAGGTGAGACAAGAAGACATTCCCCGACCCTTTATATGTAGAGAGTGTGGGCGTTCGTTCCGAGACCTAACGTCTCTGCAAAAGCACATGATAATCCACCAGGTGCGGAGGGAGAGGCTGATGGAAGAGATTAAAGGTTTCAGTAAGATAGATGTCGAGGGAAGAAGAGCTTGTCTTCAGTGTCCCCAGTGTGTCTTTGGAGCGAAGTGCCCCAAAACTTTCGTCCATCATAGCAAAACTAATGAGAAGGAGAAGACGTCTTATAGCTGTGAGGAATGTGATCACATGACTATGACTGAAATGGAGGCACACGAGTGCACAGCTCACCACAACGCATGTGGCAAGACTGGCGACTTTTTTGTATGTCAAATTTGCACATTTAGAAGTAAGAACATATATAGTTTCAGAAAGCACGTGGAGCTTATCCACGGGCAAAATTTTAAGAATTATGAACCTCAACCACACAGCAATGTGGATGACCACATAAAAGCTGTGTTGGACCAACCCAAAAACATGGATTCATCTTTACTTATGCCAAAGATTCAAAGCACAGAGAAGCGGTCTGTTAAGGACAGAGTTCAGCTGCCCTTTAGGCCCAATGGGTCAGCTGACCTTAATGTGAAAAGCAAAGACACACAAAGAGCCTGTGATGGTTTCAGCTCCTCGCTGATCAAATGGAGCCATGGCAGCCCAGCAAACAAGCTGTCACCATTCTCACTGAGAAGTGACAAGTCAAGCAAATTATCCCCTCTGCCTACAGAGAAAATAGATGTGACAACAGGTCTCCCATATGTCGAAGAAGACAATCAGGAATATGAAAGCGCTTTCTCCGAAAAGAGGACAAAATATCTTTCTAGCTTTGACGTACATCTTACAACGAAAACAGAGATCGTGAGTAAAGCAGCCTGTCTGAACCCTGGCACTGAGAACCGTCCCAAAGATCCTTCAACCGGCAGTACTTTAGCACTGCAAACGCTGCGGCACAAAGTACCCTCGAAAAGAAAAATGTCAATCCCGTATCGCAACACCCATGCCGATATTCCTCATGTGCGTCTTCCAAAATGTGAGCCTGAGTCTCCACAATGGGACTCCAGTACACCACAAGAGGGAGATGACTATGAAGGTTCTCAGGATTTCAGCGACTGCACCAAAGAGTCTTCGGATCGGTTTCATAGCAATACCCCTAGTGATTATTTCATCCCTTTCAACAACAGCATTCCGGACTATGCCAATCATACTAATTCAGACAATAGCATAGAGGTGGACAGTGATGATATTTGTACATTTATAGTGAAGGAGGAGTGTATCGAGAGTATAATAAGTGAGGATAACCCTGATCATGTTGTTTATCAGCAAAGTGACCCTTATGCAGAGTATATTGTCAACCCTTTGCCTTCGGTGGGCAGGAAGTGCTGTCCCTATTGCCCCGCAGTATTTGAGTCTGGGGTGGGCTTGTCCAACCACGTGAGAGGACACTTACATAGGGTGGGGCTAAGTTATGATGCTCGTCATGTGGTGTCACCTGAGCAAGTGGCATCTCAGGACCGCCAGCCTCGCATACGCAGAAAAATCCCCTCAGTGAATCGCAGAATCAGAAAAGGTGATTATTGTTCACCTTTCCTTGTTCAAGTCATTGTGATTTTAGATAATGCTCTCAAACTAAAATCACACATGCATAACCTATATTTATGTATGTGTACAAACATTTCTAAATGTAACTTATTCATTTAAAGTAATTATGTGCTTTCATCATGGCAGATAAGCCAGAGTCTAAAACCGAGCATACCTGTCCGCTGTGCCTGGGCTGGTTTGACACTAAGACCGGCCTCTCCAATCATGTGCGGGGTCACCTGAAGCGGATTGGCAAGCCAATTTCGGGGGCTAGCAAGTCACCTCTCTGCATCCTGACGGAACTTCTTCAGGATGAGACGGAGTACAGGAACATTATAAGGGTGTTTGGTTCCAGACCGCACTTATCGAAACCTTTTGTCTCTCAAAAGTTTGCCAGCAGCGATGGACTGTTTCTTACATCCTCCGGCATTCCCATGAAGATCCACCATACAACTGGCCCACCAGATGAATGGACTATGATCAGACCCCCCCAGGTTGACAGAGAGAGAAAGAGGACCGATAAGGTCACTTTAGAGGATCTGCTGGGAAATAAGGAAGTGGAGCAGGAAATGGAGGTTGAAGGTCACTCCGAGGAGGCCAGGACCCCTTTGACCATCTCCTCCACTAGTGGCAGTTTACCCAGAACACCATCTGTGAAGCTGGATTCTACCTGGAGCCAAGGTTAGGAACCACACACTCACTCATTCATGTGTCATTTGTTGTTACCCAGAAAATTAATTAAATGCTAATTTACAAAGCTTGTTTTATGTCAACCTCTGAAATTCAGAACAAAATTTTTAAAACACCAGTACTGCAGCTGAGTTTCTTTAAGTAACAAGGTTCTGTAAAGTACCTTTATTTCAAATTTGGAGACATTAGTAGTCTCATTGAACCTCTTGAAGAAGAATTGGCCCCTTAAACATTAATGACGAAACATTTCATGTGTAGTTATGTTTTCTCAGCTTCTCAGCTTCAGTTTGTGTAAGCATCTTTAATAACAGGTTAATAATAACAGGTTAATAATGACCCCCAGTTATTCAAGTTGAAGTTCAGTGACAGAATTGTCCTTTTCTCCACCAAAACAATGTTTGAGTTGATTAGCTTGGTTTTATATGTCTGTACCAACTAATCAACTGCTATTGAAGCATTTAATGGTTCACTAGAGGGAAAATTTAAAGTGGATAATGACTTAAATTTTTGCTTTTTAATTTTTGCTTTGTTAATGACTTTACAATTTTATTGTACAAAGCCATTATCAAGGCTCAGAAATTCTTATTTGTATTTACAATGAAAATACTTTACTTATATATTTGACTACATATGCCCATTTAGCATCGTTTAGTGGCTGAAAAAATATTAGGCTGCTAATTGGCCATTAATTTATATTTTGTCATGCATTGTAAATGGACAAAGAGAGCTTGGAAGTACCATTGATACTGAGCAATTTTAGTGAAAACAAAACCCCTCCATGACAAGAAGCTTTTGCCTGTTAACTGACAGCTGAGCGTGTGATCTGTCTTGTTTCGAGTGATGTTGAATCAAAGAATCTGAGAGTGACAGACAGGTGAGGTTTCAGATATCTGGGTCACAATCCTGCGTTGAACATTCTTTATTCCCATAACATAGGGTTTTTATTGTTGTTAGTCTTTTGTTAATAGTTATAGTCCTTGAAGTGCAAATAATAAAGTAGTGTGTTAAGTGCCGTACCATTGATTTGAGATATTTACAGTAAGCATGGGTAGAAATGATCAATACGGTGTAACATGACTGCACAGACTTGTTTCACAGCTGCTCTCATGTGTTTTTCCACCTCTACTGCCTTCATTATTTACAGTGCACCTTAAACCCAATTTCAGTCATGCACTCCATATTAAATATATATGACAGACACCTCATACTTAAGACAAAGTTCTCTTCCTGTAACCTTGAAGTTGCCAGTTGATGCCATTAAAAGAGAAAGGGAACACAAGATTCAGAGAGTGCATGGTAAAAGTTTGCCACTCATTGAAATATTGTAGCAGGTACAAAAAGAATGAATGTCATCAAAAGTGGCTTTGAAATTCAAATGTAAAACACATAGCGTTCTTTTATGTACTACTGGAAACACATCAGCTGTATTTGCACACCTTTGTTTCATGTCTACCCAAATAAAACTCCCATTTCATTAATAAAAAACAAATTAATGAAGTTTTACAATCACGTTTATTTCACAGGTTGTCTATTTTAATTGGATATACACTGTTAAATACATTTGATTTGACTGTTCAACCAGACTCATATAATCAGGTCTGTTTTTTATGTCCTGCTGGAACACTTTGATTAGTGGTGGAGCACTAACAGCTATTGCAGGAGGTTCAATGAGACCAGTTAGAAAAAAAAGTAGTTTGTGCTTTTCAGAGTAGTCTAGATGAGTACATATGTAAATCATGAATTGATATTTTCTTAATCAAGTAAAACAATAAGAGATTATCATTTCAGAAGGAGTTTTGTGTTTGTCCATTCGTTGATATTACCCAGAATGACCAAAATGGTCAAAAATGTCTTCTTGTGTATTTTTCCAATTCCAATTTTCCAATCTTCAATTATGTTTGTATTAGGATTATTCATTAAAAATGTTGATTTGGTTCAATGAATAAAAATACTAATGATAATAATGTGATTATATATGATTATATGAACTATTAACACAATTAACAATTCATGCCTCCTGACCTTTATGTAACTCCTATATTAAGGAAAGGATCTATATGCAAATCATATTTTTGCAAATTCTGCAGTGGCCCAGCTGATACTACAGCATAGAATGAGTAAGAAACTGTCCACACAGGACATTCTTGTTTTCAAAAACATCAAAACAGAGTGCAGATTGATGTTGAAAAGACATCAAATTGACACCAAAATTGACGTCAAAAAACAAATATGCAAATCAAAGTGGTGTCGAAAACTTGACATTATGTTGATTGGATATGAACTGAATGTCAAACATATTGGCCGACACATTCATTAAACCAAATTCAATGTGGGATTGACTTCCTATTTTCACCCAATTACCACTGGAAGAGATTGCCATCCAAACTGAGTTTAAAATGATGTTACAGCATCCTGATCAAGTCTTTGTTGATCAAATTGATGTCAAATTGATATCAAGGTGCCCGCTGGGTTATGCAATACAACATGAACACAATAAACACATTGTACCTAACAATTAATTTTTCTTCACCCAAGTATATAGTAAAGTCACCTAATATAAAGAGGGACCAAAACATCTAATCAGTTGACAGCCCTAGGTTGTACGGTAATTATTGTATACCCTTTGCATATATTACAAACCCTGATTACTAGAGATATTTTTGATCATGAAACATTTCTACTTACAAATATACCCCAGCGACTTAAGACTGGTTTTGTGGTCCAGGGTCACCTATATAGTCAAGCTTCATATAACAGCTGTAGATTAGCATTAAATGAACACATTTCATCTAAAAATACAATGAGAGCAGATTAATAGTTTCAAACATTGCCCCTAAAAACAAACAAACAAACCATCAAACTGAGTGCAAATACTGAGAACATACATGTCCTCAAAAACAGAGTGCACAGCCGATCTTTATGATATGAAAACAGATGGAGTGGGAGGTGATGACACTCAGGGAATCACAGTTTTATTTTCTTCAAGCTGCTGTGTTCCTTTTCTAAATTACACACTCATGTAGCCATATAACATGCTTTTGCTTTTTAAAGAGCAGTCATGAGTGGAGAGCAGCTACAAGAAAAACGCACAGGTCATCGAACTGTTATTTAAATGCTCATTAGCTCCAAACTTTTTATTTGTGTGATCCAGAAAATAAGAAGATCTGCATCCACTGCAACACGACGTTCCACAGCGCTGTCAGCCTGTCCAATCATCTCCGAGCATATGCGCGACGGAAGAAAATTGCCTTATTAGAAGGAACAAGTAGGATTTCATACTTGCTCTTCCAATCTAATCTAATCTAATCATCCAGCCACTCAGCTTTTTGTTGATTTCAATTTCGTCGTTTGTTCCACAGCATGTGATTGTAAACAGAAGAGGCCGAGATCAAGGCCTGGGCCAAAAAGAAAGGCGTTTTCATCTTCACACGCCGCCTCTGAAGTGATCTACAGAATGACCTGCAGGTACTTTACAGCACTCCTGCACTCTCTCCTACCACTGCCAGGAGTTCTCATATCTGTCTTTCTTTCCCCCAGGTTCTGCGATCTGATCTTCCAGGGTCCTCAGTCAATTCAGGAAGACTGGATCAAGCACTTGCAGAGGCATCTTATGCACACGAGTATCCCCGGCGTGGGTGCAGGTATGGTGGAGGTTTCGGCGCTGTGTAAAGAGCTGTGTTCCCCATCTCCCCCCGAGCGCCTGCTTCTGGATACACGCCCTCCTCTCAGTCTGCCTGAGGGGGTCTCCTAAGCCACGTTTACACACCAGCTACGCTCACTGTACACCTGTTCTGCACATGTTCATAAACAAATACACATATAATACTGTATATACATCTATATATGAATACAGAATAGAAATATATAATATAAATGAAAGATTTTCTTATATTGCATATTATTCTTTTTTTCTTTGGTTTGTTTCCCAATTTTATTATATCAATCGGTTATTCGTAAGGGCATGCTATTTGCAACATAGATGTAGAGCTATATTTAGATCTTGGATGTGCACATTATGCAGTCTCTCTCCGCTGACTGCAGTTCTCTACTGCTGTGACTTGCAAGTCTAAAATTCTGCAGCTAGATTTTAGAAACTGTCCAAATCATAGAATTCAGAGGTCACTGTTTAGCACATGGCACTATGTCGACTGATCAGCTTCAAAGACAGCTACAAGGACTTATTGCTATTTACTGTAATTTTGCGACGCAATGTTTATTTACACTGACAAAAAATGTATAACCTATTTTTAAGAGAGTATATCAACATGATAATATATATATATACAAAAGTAGTGCTTCATTTATGGTTAAGAATTCTTATATCTACTCTTATGCATCATTTAACATGTTGAGGAAAAAATATCATATTGCGTATACGGGCATTAGAGCCCAAACATGTAACACACAATCTATTACAATATTTTTAATGCCATTATCAAAGAAATGAACTGTGAACTTTATGACTATATCAATGAATATTTTTCAAAAAGTTTCTAGTTGTTTAGTAAAATCATGGGCAATACTGTCATGATGCAACATTAATTAGTTTAGTATCTATATAATGTCAAAAAAGGTAATTGTTCTATATTATTGTTGTACGTTGCTGAAACCCCTGCAAATACTGTTTTTGCTCATCATTTTATGGTGCTAAAATGTAAGGTATAGCACACAAAAGTATAATAACACAACTAATTACCATGTTTTACTTTAGGATACTTAAGGGAATCTTTACCACTCATTGTTTCAGAGGTAAATTATTTCTTAGCATTTGATTGTAAATAAATCTGTAGGTAAAGACCAAATGGAGGTATAGTCCTCCATGCCCTGGTCAGCCCTTCAAATAGTTACCATGTAACTATATACCATTACTTGGGGATGATAATGTGCAAGCACATACCTCAATTAAGGTATAAAATGTGTTAATGAGCAGAGGAAGCGTTAACACGTTGTATTTATGTCTCTGTTAAGTCACTAATAGCCAATTAAAATGTAATTGTGATTTAAACCTTTGTATCTTTTTCTGCTGTAATACTTACTTACTTTACACTGCCACTTTGTTGACAAAGGCTCTGTCCAACAATGTCGTTATGTAAGTATCAAAGATCTCCATGACATCATCGTCGTCTTTGTGTAGAGGAACAGCTCTGATAATATCAGAGAAAGCGGCTTGACCGGGGTCTGTTTTCAGGTTCATCAGTAAGTGTCTGGACCGGGGGGCGACCTCACAGTTTGTCCCGGGCAGGGCTTAGACTGGCGATCAAAGCTGTACAAACCAATTGTCATCACGTTCCTCCAGAGGGAATTTGGAGTACATTAATGCCCCTGCTTTGGGAAATAATTGTATCTTTCTGTGACTTCATTAGGCTCTCCTGGCCGAATCAAAAGACACTCCACCAAGGCTGGAAGCTGCATGGTGGGCAGACAGTGTCCCAAAGGGCCGAATGAATAAAAAACAAGGGATTATAATGAGATTGAGCTAACCATGACCAGGATTGAGTTTTTCCATTATACCATTGGCAGCTTTAAGAATGAGGTAGACGAGGGGGGAGGCAGGAACATAAAGAAATGTGTAAGATCCACACCAGCCATCTGCCACGGGGCTGTGCCGCTGACAGACCAGAGCACACTTATCATTAGGCAGTGAATCAAAGAGGCCTTCTCTCTGGAGATTCCTCCATTAAAACAGTATACAAGTGTCATCCCTTCTCGGTGTGCAAGAGAGCACATCTTATCTGAATCAGGAGGCGTAATGACTCGGCTTTGGGAAACCAGAAGGAGGCTTTCTATTAATCACCATATTTTATTTGTTAAATCGAACCTCTAGAACATATGAGGAAGAGATTGCACACTGTGTTGTTTTATATTAATGGTGTAACCTTAGGTGGTAATTAAAATCGCCCTCTGGCGGATAAGCACGTTCTTAATATTTCATTGGCACGGTTATGACAAAGGCAGACTAAGAACCGCAGGAAGGATAGAGAGGGGTTATCTCACATTACATTTATCTCCTGAAAGTAGTCTCAGGTGCACCTGACACAAACACTAGGAGATACCGTTGATTGATTGATTGATGGGCACTTTTTCCTCTTTCTTAGTGTTTTTCTCATTTCCAAAGACTGCTACTTGTCTTGACTTTTTTTCCCTCCTATGAAGTGGCAGGAGCGACCTGGAGATCGGGACCAGTGACCGAGCCCTCGACGCTGTCGACCATGCCCTTGCTTTTGCTTTCAGTCATTCCTAAAGTGTAAGAGCCTTCACTTCCTCTGTGAAAAAAGACAGGAAAAGAGAGAGAGGAAAGAGAGAGTGTGAGAACAAAAAAAATCAATAGGTTTCCATTATCTGGTTGGGCAGTGTCACTGGCCTGTCAATGATCCCGCTACAGTCCCGACACAAGGGTGAGACGAGCCCCCAGTCAATCGCCACTGACAAGAGGAAAACATGCTGACAGCAACCAGGAACAAGTCAGAACACAGATTTGCACTTCAAGCGCTCGTCCGAGGGGGCGGTGTGAGGGGCCACCAAACGGCGAGGGGCCAGGCTTGGGCTGAGAGGGGGGCACGGTACTGTGGGCTCTGGCCGGGTTTTCACCCCCTTGTCTGAATGTCTCACTCCCCCTCACAAACGCTTTTATCCTCACATCAATTATTTACCTCTAGATACACCAAAGGAAACCCAGGTGCACTGATTGTGGCGAAGAGAAATTCATCACCTTCATGGTCGCCACAAGCTTGTGTTCTCTGTTCCGTTCCATCTCTTTCTCCTCCTTTTGCTACCCATCTCCAACACCCTGTCCCACAAAATAATAATAATAAAAAATATATAGTATTGAATATGCATGTAGGTGTATTCTCTGTCACTTAATGTAAATCAGTAGACAATGTATCTCACAAATGTAGACAATGTATCTCACTATTGTATGTACTGTGATGCTTGAAAACATCTAGAGTACTTTGCCTCTAGAGTAACTGTAAAACAACTAGAGACAGCCTAAATTAAATCCAGTTTTACAGACTCGTTAGGGTGGTGTTAGTATCACCCCTCCATTTGAACCTGCTTAAACCAACCCTCTCCTGCTGACCGCTGAGTAAGAGAGACATCAACCACTCCACAAAACCAGAGAAATCAATACATTTTGACAAGGATGAAACCTGTTTGGGATGCACCATTTTGGTGCTCCAAAAATATGCTTTAGCCCTTGTCACATTCAATTAGATCTGTATGGCTTGTCTGAGGTTCACCACAGTCAGCTTTTGTGGAGCAGGAAATCCATTTCTCTGCCTCTGTGTTTATATCTGTATTTCTTGTATATTATGATTTTAAACAGCGTTTATTCTTAAACATAAAAGTGAAACTGCAACTGTATCGTCCCTAATTATGTGTAACTAGGTCTTATAACAAAGGTTAATGAGAAATTAGCTCGCCCATTCGCTCTAAATTATTTCTAATGGACGGTTTTTAGAAAAGGCTTCAAGCTCTCGGGGCATCATCTGACATGCGGTATAGAGCCTATTAATTAATGTGCTTTCCCGCCAATTGTTTTTCAATTAGTTTCCCTTTCCTTGTCTACTGCACTAATTCGGTATAGTGGATGACTGCAGGGAATTCAGGTTAATATGTTGACAAGCCTCGAACAATAGCGAGTCATGTCGCTCTGCTCGCTCGACTGCTTCGGTTCATTTCAGCAGCTGACAGCAGGTCCTAATCATCAGCTCCCCTAAAGACACGTCATTACGTGCTATTATGACGACATAATTACAGTTAGCTATATTAAAATGTTTCCAATTAATTACGTAGAATTAATTACGTAGCCTACAATGGAAGAACAAACAAACAAACGTTGTATCCTGCATTATTTTAATTCACCCAATTATTATTAATAATTATATTTTTAATTAGTGCAATTATTGTTATTATTATTATTATTTATTATGTGATTTGATTAAAACGTCTTAATATAGGATATATGTCGTGGTCTAAATATATACGGCATAAACACGGCATGTTATGATTGGATTGTAGTTTCATATGTGAATAAATACAGTTAAAGGCCAAAGGTTATAGGCAGTACATAACCATAATAGCAACAACAACATATGTTAGCCTATAGTGACATATTTTTATAGTTAGCTATAGACTCTTTTTCGTGTGTGTGTGTGTGTGTGTGTGTGTTATATATATATAAATTCATATGTATGTTAATAACCCGTAAGTAGAAGATAAACAGGTTTCCAAGGATGGTGGTGTGTTCATGAATCTATATTTATTCTCAAAAACATCTGCATGCAAAAGGCCCCATTTACTACAAGTTTTAGACTCTTTTTCGTGTGTGTGTGTGTGTGTGTGTGTGTTATATATATATAAATTCATTGAGTGTCATGCTAAATCCCAACAACAACCACACATAATAGGCTAATAATAATAACAATAATAATAATAATGTTTCGAAATGGTTCTGGACTCTCTAAAGATATGAATGAATGTGTAGCAGAACTGTAGGTGTGACTGGTCACTGAGCAGCTGGCGCTCATCCCTCCGGGCGCACCATGACCTGCTTTTCTTTCCACACTAAATTGGAGGCTTGACAAGCCACAAAATGAAAGTGATTTGAGTTGGATTCGGGAAGAAATGCAGAATATGAGCCAAAAGTGACGAGTCCGACGGGTATCCCGGGCATGAGACATGACGCGTAAAACATACGGCGCCTCTTTATTCTCTGTGTAGCCGGTTCAAATATTGTCCAACAGCATATAGCCTGTTAGAATTAAATAGCCTAGTCTACATCCTTCCCCTGCGTTATGTAAAGCATCATATATGCGTTTATCACTTATCTAAGATTAATGAGTGTGTTGCTT